CAGGGCTGCCCTGACACGCGGTGGGGAATGTCCGCTCCGTGTCATCGTATACGGAGCAAACCCTCCCCCGGCACTCGAGCTTCTTGCTCAGCATTCGGAGCGATGGAGAAAGGCCGAATTCATCTGCCCTCTGCCTGTTCTCAAAAATTTGTCCGGGCTCAAAGGAAGATTCCCCGTCCTCCACACCCTCGAGGTCAGCTCCTGGGCGTCTCCTCAGGAGCAGCTAGACCTTTTCGAGGTTGCGCCGAGTTTGACGAGTTTGACTATATCGGGGCAGCTCCTCCGCACGGCAGCCACGCCCCCTCGCCCACAATTCAGTGTCTGCAAGTGCATCGACCTAGAAGACGCTACAGAAATTGCCACAGCTACGTCCTTCATGTCGGACATGTCCTCAGGGACCTCATTCGGTCTTGTCATCCACTTCACGTCGGGCACCACCCCGATCGACCTCACTCTCCCGCCAATATCCTCCGACATCCGCAACCTCTCGATGGGGGCCCGGGGCGATTTCGGCGGTGGCGAGGCATGCATCCAGGCACTGCACCACATCTTCGCGAGCCTGACGCTCCCCCATCTCCACCGCCTCGAATTCAACTCGGAGGAATATCCCGAGCTTCTTCTGCCCTGGCCGCACGCCGCGATCCTTGCCCTCTCCGGACGCTCCGCATTCGACACCCACCTCCAAGTCCTCCGACTCGGCGAGATTGTCATCACAGAGGTCGAGCTCATCGAGTGCTTATCTGTACTCCCTGCGCTGCAGGAGCTGGAGATCTCCGACCACCAGGTCGTCCCGCAGGGCGTCGGCGTCGACAACCCTCACCCGCTCATCGGCGGTGTTGCCCACCTGCTCATCACCGACAACCTCTTCGCGAAACTCACGAAAACACCCGACTCCAATTCCGATTCCCCTTGTCTCGTCCCCAACCTTCGCTGCCTCGACTGCATATCCATACTCCGCTTCGATCACAACGCGTTCCTGGATTGCCTGCTCTCGCGCATGCGGGAGGGGAGTCGGTTCGAATGCGGGTTATGGTGGCTACCTGGGCGACGTCGGGACTTGGACCCGCACGTCGTCGCCCGCATCGACGCGTTGCGCGTCCAAAAGCAGTTGACGTTCAGGTTCAAAACTGCGCCGCCGGATATTTGACTGGTGTGGTGAGTTTGTATCTCGTCGTGCGTCTCACTCATTGACGGTCCTCCGATTAGACGCGAATATACGATACGCAGCAATCATTCTTTAGTGAAAGCGTAAAAAGTACACGCAGTCCGCCGACAAGTCGTAACAGTGAGCCAATTCAAATTATCAAAACGGTGAGGCACGAGCAGCGGCGCGTCTACAAAACATGATTGAGCATGTCGAGGGGACCGATCCATTCCGGCGCTGGTCGAGATGCAGTATACAAGGCGTCTATCTGTCTACAGAATAAGAAAATCCCAACAAAATCTAGCTGTACAACAGTAAGTACCAACATCTGCGGCCCCGGTCAGCATCGACACCGCAACCTAGCCAGGTGGAAGCGCGCCAACCTATAATCTAACAGGATCGATATTAAGATCCCGAAGTCCGAACGGTTCCTTCCCAAATACGAAGGTAGTTCCCCTATGCATACCCACCGCGTTGACCCGCAGTATGTCGGGAAACGCCTCCACATCACGTCGGGAAATGCTTCAACGCAACCACGATCCTCTGCCCCCTAACAGGCACAAGCTTCCCCACACACGGCTCCACCCCGATAGTGAGCAGGTGCTCGCACCGCCTGCACGGCGACCACGCAGGCGTGGGGCCGCCTCTCCCCGCCCGTCGAGTGGCCATCCAGCTCGCTTCCGACTGCGTGATAGCGAGCGCGCCGCGCGGGGTCGTCTGCACTACGAGTTTTTCCGCGCTGCATTGAAGTTAGATTAGTTGGAGTTGGAGATATCCCAAGCAGAGCTGGAAAGAAAATGCGCAAAAAACGCACTTGAACTCGAGCACCGTCTTTTGCGCGACCTCCGCCGCGATCGCGCGTACCCTCTTCTCGAGCGCGTTAGGCTCGTTATCCGTCTTTCCCACCTTCTCATCGTTATCCACCTCCTTCACCTTTCCCTTCCCCTTTCCCTTCCCCTTCCCCATCTTCCGCGCGCTTGCACTTCCCGCGTCCTCCTCCGTATTCCCTACTAAACCTGGATTCCCATTCGCTACACCCACATCCCCGATCTTCCCACTCGCCACACCTACACCTTGATCCGCCGCAACAACAGCACACGCCCCCTTGAAATGAAACGCTTGCCCCTCATGCGGTTTCTTCAGCAGCCGGTCCAGATCCACGAGCAGCAGCGCGAGCGTCTGATACGCTATCGCGCGCGGGGCGGGCTCGTCGCCCGCAGGGAGGACGATGCGTCTGATTTGGGGAGGGATGCGCGTGTGTTTATCGTGTGGAGTGGTGAGCGCATCGTGCTCCACAGGGGTGTCCGCTTCCGCTTTCGCCTCAGCCGGGCGCTTGCGCTTACGCTTCTTCCGTGAAGGCGGCGGTTGCGTCTCAGCCTCAGACTCGTGTTCAGTGCTATGCGCCTCCGACTCCTCCGCCTCCGGTTCCGGGACTTTGCGTTTGCGCTTGTGTGAACGCGGTGGTTGCGGCTGCAGTACTGCAGGTGCTGTGGCCGGTTCGAGTTGTATTTGGAAGGTCGCTGATGACGGATACGGCGCGAATCCCGGCACGAATCCGTGCGGAGGTGGTGGAGGATATTGCGCGAAATAATGCCCAGGAGGCGGGTGCGGCGCAAGATAGTGCATCGGCGGCGGGTTGTAGTGGCTAGACGGGTATGGAGGCGGGATGTAGTGGTTATCAGGATACGGGTTGTAGGGCGTATGCGGGTATGGCGTCGGATTATGCGCATACGACGTTGGCGAAAACGTATGCGGGTATGGCGACTGGGTATGCGGATATGCCGGGAAAGGTGGATGGAACGGCCCCGACGTATACATGGGCTGCGGCGTGTAAGTCTGAGTCGGGAAGGAGTTGGCGTTGGGATTTGGGTTGGCGTTGGAGTTGGAGTTGGCGTTAGAGTTGGAGTCGGATTTGGAGCCGGATTTATAGGGGTGAATTTGAAAGGACGAGAATGACGGAGTCATCGAGGTGGGAGGCCCGTATTGGACCTGCGGCGAAGCAGAAAACACCGTCGACATCGACGTGGAAGAAACGCTGAATCCTGCTGGTGTGGCAGTGGAGATGCTGAACGAGGATGAAGCTATCGAGGTGGGTTGCGCATAATGCGTCTGCGCCACTGGCGGAGCGGAAACGCTGGATCCTGTTGGTGCGGCAGGTACGCTGGATCGTGCTGGCGCGGCAGAAACGCTGGACCGTGCTGGGGCGGTGGAAAGTGGTTTGGTCGAAAGTCTCGTTGACCTCCGAGTACCTGGCGTAGTAGGAACACCCCACGTTGGCCGAGCTTCTGGCGTGGTGGAACGTCTCGTTTTCCTCCGCGTAGAGCTCGTTGGCGACGTGGCAGGAGGGACACCCCACATTGCCCGAGTCTTGCTGACCCCAGCCACAACGTCGCAGGGCTTGTTGCAGCCGGTACATGGTACACTCCGGGTGCACACAGGCACGCCAAAGATCGCGGCGCATTGGACGCAGAGGCTCACAGGCGTGCCCGGGTCGTCGCCCGCTTTAAAATTCACGAACTGACCCGATTTAGATTTCACAAAGTCGCCTTTGACTTTGAAGTCGACGAAGCTCGCGCCGTGCGGGCCGACCGGGTGTGTTGCGTGGAGGTCGCCTGTGCATAGCGCGCGGTGGGAGTGGATCTTCTGTCGAGTCGGTCGTATACCGAGGATGACGTCCTCCGTGCACTTGTCGCAGGTGAAGCGATGCAGCTTGGTCGCTGCGTCGACGGAGGTCTTGAAGATGGCGCCGTCCTGGAGCGTCAACGTTACAGATAGGATGTCTAGCTGTGTTTTTCGTGGGATACAGTCAGTAATTCAAGCAGTTGTAACTTAATATGTACGACGCACGTCTCTGAGGTCGGCTTGACGCTTGCGACATTTCGTCCGATGGCGGTCCATGTTGAACGCGTTGGCAGTCACCGTGAGGGCTATTTCCGTGTCGCACAGGTCGCACGTAGCATGGTGCATCCCGGTATCATCCACCCGCGTGCGTACGACCGCGCCATCTGACAACGTCACCCTTACCGGCCGTTTGTTATCCTTGAACGTACGACAAAGTTGTGAATCCAGCCCGAATACTCTGAAGAACCGGTAACGCACTATTTCCGCTGCTTTCCGCTTCTTGCAGGATTCGCGATGACCGTTGAGGTTGTGTGGATTCGCGGTGATGGTGAGCGGTAGGTCTGTGGCGCATATATCGCAGATGACATGGTGGATTTTGGTGGTTGAGTTCGGGATGAAGGTTGTAATCTCTACGCCGTCCGACAGTGTCAGCGTTACGGGCGCAGTCTTTGGCCCGGCTCTTGCTCGTCCTGGGGGCATGATGATGGTTGGTCGGAAGAGGAAAGCTGGCACGGCGTAAATAAACAAAAACAATGGCACTGCCTTAGGATGGCATGCCGTGAATCTAACTTCCACGTTCGGTTTTTTTTTGCAAGAACAAGGAAGTTGAGGCTCATTTAAAGAAGGCAAGGCACAAGTTCGGTTTGAAAATTTGTTTGCGATGAGACGACGGAAAAAAAAAAAATCACACGCCAGTAATACTTATTTATTGGGGGATTCGGGGAACCCGGCCTGAGGTTCCAACTTCCCTCGACTTCCCCATCGGCGTCAAAATGTTAGGGCAACCACCCAGCCCTCCCCGCAGATGAACTAACTGTAAAAGCTTCTGTATGGTCCGGCTCTTCGGAGTTGTCGAGATATGGGTATCTACTGACTGGAAATCGATGCACGCCGATTTGGAATCCAACAGATTGTACAGCTAAAAAAAAAATTGCACTGGGGAGGAGCACGTCACCGTAGCATGAGGATGTGGAAAACGAGGAGCAACCCCATGTACAGAGCAGCAAAAGAAAAGTTCCGAGACGGGGAATCGAACCCCGGGCTACCGCGCACTCCAAATGACTGGGTATATTGAGAGGCGGTAATGTTACCGTTACACCATCTCGGAGATGATAATAGACGCGCGCACAGTCCATTCCCACAGGCGGAGTATCTACTCGCAGTGGTAAGAGAAGATTTATCGCTGCCCAATTTATTCTTCAACGAAGTATTGATTGTCAGACGGACCGACTGCCATCATGGCCACCCGACTTCAGGCCGTTTGAATTGACCCTGCAGTTTTCACTAGAACTCCGAATTCTTTTGTTTAATTCCATTTTTTTCTTCTTCTTTAACAGCGAACAGGATGTCTCCTTCCTTCAGCTTCTATAATGCTTTCCTTCCTTCAACTTGAGGACCTGCATTCCTCTTTCCCTAGACGAGGAAAAAACTTGTCAGAATCTACGACTCGGAATAGTCCAAGGGCGAAGGTGGTCACGACGAGTCCTTAAGCATACACTCGCACTCTTCACTTGTACACGCACTTCCTAGCCTGAGTGACATCATTCCATAAAATTCAATGCGGAACCACAGGCAAAGTAACTCACTGATATATATTCACACCCAACATACTCAAGCTCATCGGACGTGGTGCACATCCGCGATAGGTAATAACGACGTCACTTTGTTCGGCGGAAGGTCGAGGTTCGCCCCCCCGCGTTTGATTATCAACACGACGACAAATTCTTTTTGAAAATTTCCTGTCCGGTTCCTGCATGACAGCATTACACATCGGCTAGGTGGTTAAATGGAGTTCTCCGGATTGCGCAGGCACTTTCGAGTAATTCAGTTACAGTCTCGCATCCAAAGCAGTGTTCGCCCAGCACGCGAAACCCGGGACTTTCGAAAGAGTTGGACGACTAGACTTTGCAAGGATTTTTTAAAACACAACGTATATCAGGCCAAGATCAGAGACGTCTCGTCGTTTGGAGTGCAAGGAATCTCTCTGTGTGTGTAGTCAGACTGAGCAATACAGACAACTCAACTGGAAAGAAAAGGCCCACCTATCTGATCCCGTATCAGTTTTCGTTGCAGAAAGATTTTCTGGTGAGACGAATAATTTGGTCTATTCGAGCGGAGGATTTTCGGTCATCAATGCGCTGGCCGCCCAGGAGCTGGTAAAACGAATCCTTCCGCGGAGGACGTGTACCCTGCGGGACTCCTCCAACCCATCTTTCTGCATCCGTGGCTCTACGCGGCTTTATGAGATGTCCTAGTTCTCGAATATATCGATTTTTCATGGCTGTACACCCGAACTCGACTCGTGAAAGCGCTGGATTTGAAACAGCTTTCACGTCCGAAGCTGGTCAACCAACTCAAGATCACCACCTTGAGTTAAACTTCGTTGTGTCCATTTTATCCTGGTCCGCGGCCGCCGGCGAGCTACAAAATATTTTGGGCTGTGGCATATGTAGCCAAAGACTTCCGATCATCGCTCTTCAAAGATTGAAGGTTAGACAATCCGTTACCACGTAATAGATCTTGTTGCGAATCTTCTTCAAAATCACGGTCTGCCCATGGTAGAAAAACCTTCGCGTTTCGGCACCAGTAGTGTCAAGCCACTGATACATACAGATGAATCATGAATCAATCAGCCCATATGCATGACTATGGACATCTTATCTTGTTGGTTGAAAATATGATTCTCTGACTGGAAAGTTGTGTCGTGCAGCACGCCGAGTCGTGCTTGCAATTTCTGAATCTTGCTTCGACCAAAATTGAATTTGGGGCGTCATTCAATGCTCTCCATTCTCATTAATATTTATCTTGTTGAACTTCCATATCAAAATTTTATCGATCGTCTTTGGATCGTCTTTGATAAAATCTTGTGTGGAGTCTGGCTACGGCCCGAGATGGTTGATGGACGTGCCAGTGTTTGCGCATATGTGTGATTACATCAAAACTCCCTAAACCAGAACACCGACGTCCGATTGCCTAAACCCAACCTAAACCTCCGCTTCACCCCACGACCTCTCTCAAAATCGAAGGTAAAAGAACCTTGGGCTTCATTATCAACAACCCATCTCTGCCGCTATGCCCTCTCGCTCGAAGGCCCAAGGCTGTGGTGCAGACGACCGATTCTGGTGCTGCGGGTGTGTCATCGTCCTCCCACATGTTGTCCATTATCTTCAGTTCAAACTTTTCCCCGGGACCAATGATAAAGGCCTCGAGATCCTCGGAAACTACATCCGTCCCGATGGCCTTGTTCAACTCCAACACCAAACGAGTAATCGCCGCGATTCTGTCGCCAAAGGTTGCTTCGATAGCTCTCCGGCTCGGGGGCTCATTCCTCGCCTTGGCCAGGATCAGGACGTCAGAGATGGAAGAAACCAGTGAATTCTGGACGTCAGAAAGGGATGCTTGCTTGTTCAGTTGTTTCCGCGTTATGGCCCGCCATCTGGCCGCGTCCTTGGGTTCCTCTAATTTCATTAGCAGTCTGTCAAGTCCATGGAGCGGAATTCACAGACCAGAACTATGGATCTGGGCATACAATTTGCGCCAAAATCCGCTGGAGTAATCGCTTGATTTCAAAATCCAAGAGTGGAGCATGTACTCGGTCCATGACGCCATAACGGCCTGCAAAGCGACCTGTACGACCATCGCTGGCACCGGCCGAGGTTTTCCGCTCGCCAGAAGGAGGCCCGCAAGCTCGCGCCCGAGGACACGATTCATGCGTTCCGAATCCGCTGAGGGCGCCCCAGTCGCACGCATCCTAGTGCGGAAGTCGAATTCAGACAAAGCCGCGGCCGTTTGGAATATCTCAGATTCCAAGTCCTCCATCATACGGCGGACATCCGCCATAGAGGTGGCATTCACCGTAGCGCAAAAACCTTGCCCTGCGTTCTCATGGCTGCGCTCGACCTTCGCAAGTGCCTCCCTCTTCTGAGCCTCTTCCAGCTGTGCGACGTGATGGTCGTTCTCCTTTGCCAGCCGTGACATTTCGACCCGCATTTTCTGCATCTCGTCCATCAACTGGAATATTTCATCTCGCATGTTGCTGTTTTCCGCCTCCAGCCGGTGCTGCGCCTTTCTCTTGTGACCTTCGCGCCGAGACCTAGGCCTGTGCTCCCCTCCCTCCGCCTGCTGAGAGATGAATTCTTCGGCGGATCTGGAACGTCCCGTCGCCAAATCCTGTGCGAAAATGGGTAAGGCGCCGAATGCCTTTTCGACGAAATGTCTCTGACCGTATGTGTTTCCCTCTCGGACCTATAGCCCCCAATTCTCCCCTGGTTGATTTCAGCCAACGACGGTTCCCTCCTGTCGTCGGTGTCGGATTGAGCACCTCTACTGGATGCTCGAGGAAGATCGAAGACCATCTCTTCTTCAGCTGCAGGTGATTCGGCAGCATATCGAATGTCTCCACCACGGATCTCTGTCCCTGGTTTCTGAGCCAAGTCGGAGGGACCTCTGAACATCTTGGTGACTGCCTGGAGCATCGTGAATGCGAGCGCTAAATCTAATCAGCCACGTCCGCTGAACCCCCGACGTTCATGTCCGCCAGCCTCATTGCGCTGTTATCGATGAACTGGAATTTCAGCTCTGGTTCGAATAAGCGCTCAATTACTTTGCAGTGTCTTCTGCCCCTGAATTAGTCTTGGTGGGGGGCTTGAATTACTTCTCGTAGAATGAACACGTTGACGATGAGGTGTTGGACCGCGGTGAGTCACAAGTCACTCCATTTCCGCTGGCCGTAATGGGCTCCCGAGTCCCGTCGATGGGAAGCTACTTTTAACTTCTGGTTTGTACAGTTGGCAAAATCAGAGCCAAATCCCTGTGGTCGAGAATATCGTTCGCTCCCCTGCAAGCTCTGAAGCGGAAATTTGATACGGTATCCATCAAGGCCACATAGAGGTGCTATATTTCTCCGGCCAACGTTCCTTGGACCACTGGGCGTTTAATCGAAGTGGAAGTTATGCTGGGAAAAGCCCGCACTGTTTCCGTTTCTGTCAGCCTCATTGTTTCCATATCAAAGACGCCAAGGTTACTTGCGGTCGGGTAAACGCCGAGTCGTTCGTTCTTTGACCTCCAACCACCATGTTACCCAGGAAAGCATTTACTGGCCCAACGCGAAAACTTGTGCTGGGTATGGACCTTGGAACAACCTATGCTGGGATGTCCTACTCGTACGTCCTTGACTGTCTCTCTACCTGGAAAGGTTATAAACTCGTCTGTAGTCTGCTAGAGCCCGGCAAGATTCCAAGTATCTTGCCGGTAACAAGGTAATCTCCACATCAGCTCAAATCCGACAAAACAAACGATGTGTGCAGATTCCCCGCACAGGATCACGTCGGCGGTGACTCTAAAGTGCCCTCGGTTATCTATTACGACCGGTTTGGTAGTGTTAGAGCAGTAGGCGCCGAGGCACTACAGGAAAGCGTTGTCGAGAAGGCGGAGGAGGAGGGTTGGGTAAAGTCCGAGTGGTGAGTGTCTTTGCGCAACAGCATGGCATTAGAAATCTCAAAAGCGTTCCCAAGGTTCAAACTACACCTCCGACCGAACGACAGCAATTCGATTCAACCGAATCACCTGCCCCCATTGCCCGTGAATAAGACTGTTGTTGACATATTCGCCGATTTTTTGCGTTACCTCTTCCAATGCGCTAAAACATACATCGCCGACCATTATCAGAACGGCAGCGCATTATGGATCGCCCTCGAAGATAGTATTGAGTTCGTACTCACGCACCCCAACGGGTGGGAGGGAGAGCAGCAGTCCAAAATGCGCAAGGCTGCCATCATCGCTGGGCTCATCCCGAACAATCGCGACGGCCATGATCGTATCCACTTTGTCACGGAGGGCGAGGCAAGCTTGCATTTCTGTATTACCAACGGACTTGCCACGGATCCTCTCCGCGTGAGTGTCCACCTTATATTCATCGACCCGGCTGATCACCGCTCTTTTTCAGCTCGGCAAAGGCGTCATCATAGTCGACGCTGGCGGAGGCACAGTCGATATTAGCGCATATCGTAAATTGACATCGGCCAAAGGCAATTCCTTTGAAGAGATCGCGCGCGCTCAATGTGAAATGGCTTCCATGTTCATTTATTCACACCTGACGGCTGAGATCTA